GGCAAGTCGTCCACACTCAAATACGAGGAAATATCTACATCGTTACTCTTTTCCAACGACGAGCTTTTGTTTTCCTCAACGGTATATTGGTAGCTGAGCGACTTCTTTGCGGAGGGACTCGATTTATTTTATTTATATATCCAGTAGTCTTTTGCCTCCCTCCTTTGTCTTGGATGGGGTCAAAGTTTGAACAGCTTTACTTTTGACAAATTTATACGATTAACCTAACTTTATTATTTTCTCATATCCTCTCAAATATCGGCAAGGACGATCCCCAGAGAATCTTTCCTTAAAGAAGCTTAAACAAATTTTCGAATGACAGATATCCCTGTATTTTTTGGGTTCCTTGTAACTCCGAAATTTACTTAAAAACATTAATTACGAAATCGACAATTTTGATTCGCACTAGCTAGCGGTCACAGAATCTCTAATTTTTTTAAATTTTTTAAAATTTTTTTAAAAGGTTTTGACGTTTGATTGCTTATATCAGAAGTGGTCTTTCACTTCCTTTAAATTCACCTTCAATCGTGATTGGTTACTTTGACAGCTAGAGTTTTGATCGCGCATATCTAATTAGGAGGCGTTTTTCAAAATAACAAGGGCTGCTGGCAGGCGTTCCTTCTTCCCCTACCCGCCCCCTCCCCCTTCGCTTCTCTTTTGCTCGGTTTCAATTCTCGCTCGTTCCAAATTCCCAAAGTTCCCCCAAAACCCAGGTTTTTCCCCAAACTCACAAGAACGCCTGCTTTGCAAGCTATGAACTGAGGGAGGTGGCTTTTCAAATAGCATCCATGCGACGCTTTAGTTAACAAATAAAACAGCTTTTGACGTGTTTCATTCAGTAGTAATAAAGCACGCAGGAAGTGGCGTTACAACAAAAGAAGTGTAAGGACTCCTTACCCTTCTTGAGTGCGTACGGCGCTTCCTAAGTGTTTTATTACTTAACGGAGGAGGGAAACGCTGTTTTAATCATTTTATTGTATAGTTACTAATTTTATTTCATTCTATTTACTATAGATATGGGGACAAACACGCGCAAATTTCATAATTAGTTATATCCATTTCAGAATTAATTATATCCATTTTGAAATCACTGGCAAATCCTGCAATCTGATTGGCTCTCAGCAGTGCGATTTCAACACAAATCGGCCCCTTTTGTATTTTAAATAATAATAATAATAATAATAATAATAATAATAATAATAATAATAAATTTATCCAGGAGACCTACTCGCAAAAGCGATTTTCGGTAGGGTCCTGCAACAGAAATAATTGTTAAAAATATATACAAAAATAAAATAAGACATAAATTAAAATTACAGATAAAATACTAAAAATGTTATATATGAAATTGTCATATAATAAGAAGAGAGAGATTAAAGTCCAAAAATCGCACTGTTTTAAAAAGCCCATGATTGTTATAGATTGCATTAAAGCACCAAATTTGGTATCATGTGGCTTTCATATATAAATTTAATTCAGAAATCAAAACAAGCAAATGTTTCAAATTGGGTTCTTATTACGTTTTTATACTTATCATAAAGAATATTTGACCCACCCCCCTCTAGGTAGCGTAGTGAGGAGGGAAGAAACAGGAGAACAAACAAGGAACAAACCAGACTCAAATGGTTTTATTTATACTAAGCGGGTAGTATGTCTTTTTTTCTTTGTATCCTCATAGCTCAGGCAAATATACAAAGTTAATTTGATGTATCCACATGTTTAATACACCTAAATCCAAAATGGGCCAAATTTACGAATTTACGGTATTTTCTTATAAATTGATGCTGCAAAATTATCGCGTTCCTGAATGCAAGAAGAAAAGAAAGACAGAACAAGTGAACAAGTGTATACTTTGCATTGACAACATATTATTTCTTTGCAGTTGGCCCTGGATGCCTCGTTTTAATTTCATGTAACACACTCGGCCTTGTGCCATTTTGGAATTTGGTGTATTCAGAAATGGAATCCTCCCCAATCTAATACATGATCCGATAGTATTAAATGCACTTTGTAAACCCACGCGCATACACACGCACAAAAAAGCTTCATAGCTAGTCAGCCAGCACCTCATATTGTCTAGACCGTTAGTTTTATTATAGCATATTTAGCTTACGCTGTTCACTGGACATGTCTCTCAGTAAATAAAGTCATGTTATGTCAAGCCTCTACTCTAGGCAAATATATCTGATCCACCCAAAATTACGTCACCAAAAACAAAACAAAAAAATGTTTTAAAAATAAAAAATAAAATAAAGATTAACTTAAAAGATTAAAAATAAAAAATATTAAAATTCAAATTAACAAGCGAGTCAGCCATACAATCAACATATTATCATGCAAATAATATCTATTTGTTTGCTTTGTTACTAATAACTGTGGGGAAAAAAACAAACAATAAACGCGCTAGCCTTAATGCTGCTTATATAAAGAAACTTACCGTTTCGCTGGGATTAGCATGGGTCAAGGTGGAGATCGTGAGTGCTGTTATTCTAAATCTGCCACTTTAAAGGGGCACTGGAACGAAAATCGCTCCAAAATTAAAACTCTTTCATTCAAGCTGGAACTTTGCTGAAATAATCTTTGATACATTAATAATCACTCACCGAAATATCTTTCTGATATTCGAAATGAAAGGACCAAAATTTTACGACTTATTTTCGTCCGCCATTATAATTTGTCGACTCACGGCCAAAATGTTGTTATGTACAGCGGTTTTAAGCTGTGACGTCATGCATTCGACACATTCTTGCTAGCGTCGTTTTGACCATACATTTCTTGTTAAATCACCTGAAGTTTATTTGATGTTTTAAACGCGTTATCGTGAAAATAATGACCAAAATAGACTTTTTTAAATCTTTGATACCATTTCAAATGATGGAAAGTCCTTTGGACGCTCTGTTTGTCAATCCTGAAGAGTTAGAACCAGTTGCTACCAACGAAGAAGTTATCGTGTATAAAAGATAAGATGAAGCCCAACTACAAGAAGAAGCAATGCTGGCGAAGAGGTTTTCATAAGAATTCTTTATTTTCATTTCATGATTTGTATGATATAAACATCTTAAATTTGAAGTTTCAATATAATCTAGCAGCTATTGATGTTGTGCAGAAATCCGATTGCTTTTTGAATTCTGCGTTGTCATATAAAGATTTGTGGTAATTACTTATATTATAGTACACTCAACGAAATTACTCGACTCTGATTGGTCGAGAGGAGTACAATTATAGCGTTAATTGTACTCCGTAGGAGTACCGAATTAAGTCGCTATGGCAACACGGCCAAAACAATGTCAAAACAATTATTTTCTATTATTTTGTACTTAAAAAACATAAATAAAATTTTAAAGCCGTAAGAACTAATCTTTTTTATGCATTTCAGTTGCGCGATGGACTGAATAGACAAAGATGAACGGCGTCGCTTCGCATTTTTTACTGAAATTTTGTTGAGTGAACTATAAACAAAAATTCGCACGATCTTCTCGTACAATTTGGAATTAATAGACACTCGTAATGTTTTGAAAGTTCTTTAATTGCACTCGCCTAAAGGCTCGTGCAATTACAAGAACTTTCAAAACATTACTCGTGTCTATTAATTTCCAAATTGTACTAGAGATCGTGCGATTTCCTATACTAATTTAGAATGTGAGCTTGTAATTCTCCTGATTTGCTAAAGAACGTTTTTCTTTTGTGTCGGATGTCTCGCGGACCCAAATTTTGAGGTTGCTCTTTGCCCTTGTATGTAAATATACCTTGAAAAGTAGTGTTATCCTTAAAATGATTCCGAATAAATCCCGAATCACTCAGTCAGTTCGCGCGATGGAGCCGCAAGAACCTCGTCCATGCGTCCATCTTGTGGCCAAGATGTATTGAAATTTCCGAAATATGATCATCAGTTTTACTGAAACTGAAAAACGTAAGCGCCTAGCTATTGTTTGGTCATGTAGTACTTAAGGTGTCGAATGAAACATTATATATTTTCTGAATAAACCAAATAAACCGAGTTTTACGAACTTGGCACATACATTAGCCACTAATGTTTTGGTTTGGGTTAAATGTATGACGACATACGTTACTCGTGCCAGTCTTCTTGAGCCGAATTCTTGTAACAAAAAATTAATGGCGGACGAAAATAAATCGTAAAATTTTGCCCTTTCCTTTCGAAGATCAGAAAGATATTTCAGTGAGTGGTTCTTAATGTATTCAAGATTATTTCAGCAAAGTTCCAGCTCGAATGAAAGAGTTTTAATTTTGGAGCGAATTTCGTCCAAGTGCCCCTTTAAGAGTTTTAAAACATCTGTAATGGCAGCCAGACAAATGTGAAGAGCGGACCATATTAAGAGCAATAAGTAATGGGTATCGTTTGGTAAAAGCCAGTCCTGTTAATCCAGCAAGCATACACTGGTTTTTGTTAAAGCGCGCCACAACAAGAAAAAAATCAAAATATAGAAATAAAAAAAAAAAAAAAAAAAAAAAAAAAAAAAAAAAAAAAAAAAAAAGCACGAAAGAACATAGGAGGGCAAACGAAAACAAAATTAACGACATACAAGCATAATTATATACTCGCCCTGTCAGTACGACAACGAAAATTTGAAAAAATATGAAGTATTGTCTTTTATTATTATTTTGACATATTTTTCCTCTGCTTTTCTTCAAGAGAAGTTTATTGGAAGTTTATTGATGTACTTGAATGTAAGCGATACTATTTGAAAAGCCACCTCCCTCACTTCAAAACTTCTGAGGCTTATTGAACGGATCACCTCGACATCTCCTGATGGGCTTGTTCTATACTCAATAGCGTGTAGTCATATTTCCGACATAAGTAACTAAACTTTCTCAGCTAGCCTTGTCGGCTTTTAGCCTTATCACCTGCATAAGTCATAAATGGTTGGAAGTTGAATTTTTAAAATAACTTTATTTAAGGGATATTGAAACAGAGAAGTATTCAGAGAAAAAGAAATATTTTATCGTGATAAACTGCAGCAAGAGGAAAAACACTGAACAAATCAAATGTAAATCATTTATTTGAATAACGCGAATTGTACGTACAGGAAACATTCAGGGATTTGCTTTACTAGTACTCCCCTCCATAAAACCCGACATGCTTGACATACATCATCGATCATTAGATCTAGTTTCTTTAAACGTTGCACGGATTTTACTTAGTTCACGGTCATCATACTTTTCTATCAAAATGTTTATCTTTATATTTCTTTCGTTGCATCTCACATCTTGAGACAACTTTCTCAGGACGCCTTCCAATGTAGTTTCGTTGTTTGTCAGATGAGACTAAACAGGGGTTCACCCATTCATCGTTGCATTTAGTTTTTGCAATAATGCAAAAGCTGCTTGATGTTTCGCGATTCTGAAATGGAAGAGTACGAAAGAATGATCAATAATCAACTTGTTGTATCTGCAGCAAATTTCCACACACACAAAAACAACATTTTTGACAATATGGAGGATAATCTACCTTTAATTTATAAATTAAACAAATATTTATTTTTTCCTTTTTCCCCCAACATAATATTGATATTATGCCGTATATACAGGTTTTTTCCCCAAAGCCAAGCCCAGTTTGGCTCTTTGGCATTGTAATTAAAGCGTTTAGATACTTAGGATCCACGCCTGATCCACGCCAAAACTGAACTGAACATTATTATTCTTTATTTAAAAATAAAAACATAGTTTAAACTTTAAGGTCTATATCTTGCTCCCTCTCGCTCTCCCTCTCGCTCTCTCTCTCTCTCTCTTTCTTTCCCTTTCCTCTCTCTTTCCTTCTTGTCTCTCTCTCTCCATTCCCTGTCACGTGATCTCTCCCCTGTCTCTGTGTCTCTCCCCTTTCCTTTTTCCCTCTTTCTTCTTGTCCTTTTTCATCCTGTCTCTCTCTCTCTCTCTCTCTTCCTGTCTCCATCTCTTCCTGTCTCTCTCTCTTCCTCTCCCTACCTGTCTCTGTCTCTCTTACCTGGGTGTTTCGTTTTCCTTGCATGTTATACATGTTGTAGCAGTGGGCCTCTCTAGTCCAGAAAAAAAGACTCAAAAGTAAAGCAAATATGCTAAACGTCTTCATTATTTTATACCTTTATCTATCGCTGTTGGTGACCGATAAACCTCAACGAGATAGATGCTTATATAGTAGTGGAAAGTATCCAAATGTATCGTTTTTATTTCAGTTAATCATCTGCTATCTATATCGCTGCCCCCTCTTTGTTAATCAGTTGAGTTGGGTATCGCCTAAATTATACATGTTGTTGAGATTCATTAATTAATAAAAACCAACTTCATCGGCCTATTGCTTTTACTTCTTCAGAAACATCAATGACCGCCAAGCCGAAGAGAAAATATTTTTTTCATTTGCAAAAAGAAATGAATTAGATGTTATTTCAAAGGGCCACGTGAGCAAAGTTGAATAATGTTGAAACCACTGATTCATCCGTTACATTAGTAGCTCAGTTTATGTTTTTCTATTTTTTTATTAACGGCCTTCATTCTCATAAAAAATTTATAAGCAGCTCTAATGAAATCCTCTAAAAACATTTTATGTTAACCAAGCGTGTTTGTCATTAACCTGAAACAATTGCACTTTGTTTTGTTTTGTTTTTTTACCCAAAAGGGAAATTTCGCAATAATAATGATAATGACTAAGCAACTCAGCTAAAGATCCTCAGTGAGTATTGGATCAAAGATAGTTACAATGATGCTTCTGCCTATCATTTTCCGCCCAGAACATCTTTCATAGCATGATCAATTCTCCGGTACCTCCTGCAAAGCGCCGTTGGCAGCATTTGATTAGTCTCATTTTGTGAAAGTATATATTGATGCAGTTGTGGACTCTATTCTGATGATGATGGATGGCAAGCTAAAGGGTTTTCTTGTCGTCGTACAAGATGTTCTCGGAAAGTCAGCTTAATAATTATAGTGCTAATAACAATATTACTGTAAAGAGGTAGTCAAAAGGCAGATGTATTAAGGTTGTTAATGGTTTGGGCAGACTTCACTCGCAAAACTGAAGATTAATATTTTTGGCTAAAGGTTTAATTATAATAAAGAGTACTCCCCCAAACGTAACTTCAGAATCTATTTTCAACTGAAAATACAAACAAAGGGCCGTAGCCACAAATTTCTGATTGGTCCGGTTTTCGAGGGTTTTCAGTTTTTCTTATATTTTCTTATTATTTTTCTTATATTTTTTTCCCCGAAAGTTGGTCCGGTTGAAACCAAAACAACCGTACCGGTGGCTACGGCCCTGAAACAAGTACAAAACACTGTGCAATTTTGGTCGCACAAGTAAACAGTGAATACAAAGGCTAATGAATTGTCGTTCGTATCCGGTACCCATTAACCAAACCGTTTACGCTACGGGTTTTAAAAGATTTGATGGGGTTTTTCATTAGCATTTAACAAAGGGCAAGTTAAACTCTATGACAGGAAAACTCCAATGTCTTAATTGCACAACGCCCTCCGGCCAAAAACATTAGCTGAAAATATTCACTTAGTACTTGGAATACTCAACATTACTTTAATCGTGAATATAATTTAAAACAGCGCCCACATTATATTCCTTCGCGTGTGTTGGGCAAGGTGTATGATCATCATGAATTTGTAAAACGTCACCGGAGTACACTTTGAGGACGCACAACTTCAGGGATTGATTAACAACAAAAGGCAACGAAAATTTTCTGAGATATAAAAGTACGGAGGCTCTCAAGAAACCGCTTTATAAGTGTTTAAGTTTTTTTCCATTAGTGCTCTTGGAAACACCATCAGCGTTGTTGAGAATATTACTTTTACCAAAGCAAGTAAAAGTGAACCCCGTCTAGGCGTCACTGTTATAAAATTACTTTCTTGGTTACGAGTTCATACAGTGCTATTGTTTTTATTCCTTCATTCTCATTTTTTACCACCAAAGTGTAACTGAGAATTAAACACAAAGGCGTAATTGTTTATTGAAACTAACTACCATCGGCAAGAAGCAAGAAGAAACCAAAAACTCCGCTCAGTACTATAGAGATAGTTAAGCTTAGGCGGCGGTCCCCGCCTCGTTTAAACTATCATGTCCCATTTATTTCAGTATATTCTATATAATATAGTTTAACTTAAATACAGATATTTACTGATATTTTATTAAAGTAGAACTTTGCTATATTTAACATGAAAAACGGAGCTTACAAAAGTAGTTTTATAGCTAAGATAGTGAACAAATTTTCATCATTAAATAATAAACGTTACCATTAGGCCTCGAGTCTAGATAATTATTGTAATATTCTAAGATGATGATCCCAGTTAATACCATTACTTAAGCATCACCGAGACTGGTTCTGCCGCTCTTTTCTTGAGATTTGTTTATGATCTTGATTTGGAAATTGACTGTAATACGGCAAACGACATCCCATCTTTCTTGCAATTGCACATAGCTCTTCTAAACTTTCCTAGAGAAGCAAATGATGTGTTTTAAACATTCTGCCTTTCATGTTATTCTAATCTAATTTGCTTCTATGTGCTTTGGTTGAGGACTGAATTAATATTTGTACCTTCTGTAGCGTTCTCTTGCCATTTCTATGTCCTGTAAACATCCCAAAGGCAGCGCAGCCTTCAGGAACCACCACCACCATTACTAGTAACAGGATACAAGCTCCGGTTCTTAGTTCAGTTTTCATGCTGTTTTTACAGTATTCTAGAACTTCTTTATTACTCGGTGCTGTTTTGACCGATCTCTATCAAGATCATAGACCTACTAGCAATAGCTCGCGTTTTAATACTTGATATATATCATTGTCATAAATTATAATGAACATTCGTAATAGGACAGTTAGACAAAAAAACTGAGCATCTTGCTGAGATGACGACAAATTCAAAGGAGGCAGGTGACCATAGATAAGACAAGTTATTACACTCCTATAAATTTAGGTCAATAAGGTGGCGAAAATCTCTATTGATCAGCAGTTCATAATAAAACCAAAAGGAAATTAAAATTTCTTATATATGAATTTCATCGATTCGAGATGAAAAATAAAACTAAAACCGACGTATACCATTCATTGCGCTTGGCGATATTTAGACTCAAGGCTTCAATCTCAGCTGAACTTTGACACTGGGAAGGCGGGCAACATTTGGTTTGTGTTATTCTAATAACGGAAAATTAGTTCAAACGGGAGGAAATTACAAATTGATGGCTCGCTGTTTAATTTCTTTTTCGTTCGATTTCACTCACTTCTGAAGCCTACCTAGTACTTTTTTCCCCTATATTTCTAAGTTTTCTTTGTGGCCGCTCTTGAAGTTTTCTTACCATCGATCTTCTTTTTACTATTTTCATCGAAAACTCGAGAAAATTAATCAATAAGTTATGCGCAACCGTTTTAAAAGTCATTGTACTGGTTACAATACATATGAAGAGTGAGGGACCCTGCTGCTTGATGACACCTAACTTTAACAAATTATTTAAAAAAACACATGGATAAAAGATCGATAAATCACCTTTTTGTAAATCGCGATCGACGAGCGTAATTTCAGTAATAAGACTAGATTCCAAGGTGGGCCTCAAAGTCTGGGATTGTTTCTTCCTCATGAAAGTTATGACGACCGATTGAAGCAGGTTTTTTTTCCTTTTTCTTTTTCTTTTTCTTTTTTTCTTTTTTTCTTTTTTTCTTTTTTTTTTTCTTTTTTTCTTTTTTTCCTTTTTCTTTTTTTGACCGATATTAATAAATTTGACCTATTTAACAACAAATAAAGACCAAACTAATGTAGATCAAATGTACGTAGCATGTCGTCCGTGTGATATAGCGTATGAAAGTACGAAAACCCAATAAACTTCTTGCTTGATTAACTATGCTGTTCCAGTTATATTAGAAGTCAGTTAGATCATTTCTACCGGAAATTGTAGTTTAAAGTTCCTAATTGTTATTCAAAACATTGTTTATATTCAGAGTTTATACTCTGGTTTATATTGGAATTTGAATCAATAGTGCATTCTAGAAGCACGAACAAAGAATTAGTCACCAGAAAACGTCAGCTCCAGCTCCAGCTCTAACCTAATAAACGTTTGGCGTGTACATTTATAATTATTGTGCTCTTATCTTTATTATTTGGGCGCTGAAAATAATACATATTTCAAAAGCTTTCAGTTTAATTGCCGGTATGTAAGATTAATTTCAATCAAGAACAACATATGGGAATGGAAAACTATATAACCATAGTCAACCCCCATAGTTTTACGGATAAAAGCGCGATTGCTTTCTAATGGGCTACGCTTATGCATCAGACTGACTGGTTCTAAAGACCATCTGTGCGGTTCTCTCGAGTTTTACTTAAGCAATAGGAAGGTATATTTAGCCTAAAGGTAATGCTTGACTTTAAAATGTCACTAGTGATGTCATTATTTCTGATGTGGTTGATAGCTTCTTGAGCCTTGAGAATCCCACTACGTATTTGAGACACTCTAGTAGCAGCAATAGTAGTAGTAGTGGCAGCAGCAGCAGCAGCAGTAGTAGTATGTGAGTAAATAGTAGTAGTAGTAGTAGTAGTACTAGTAGTAGTAGTAGTAGCAGTAGTAGCAGCAGCAGTAGCAGTAGCAGTAGCAGTAGCAGTATTAG